AAAATGAATGGCTAACCCTAACCCTTTGCCTAAACTTAACCATTACCTAATTGTAACAACAAAACCACATTTTGAGTCTCAAAAATGCCTTCAAACTCTTGGGGATGGGCATTTTGTAGCCATAACAGCTGGTGGTCCCACAAGTACAGTGACATTCCAATGTTTGGTCCCAACAAAGATATGTAAACATGCCACACACACACACACACACACACACACACACACACACACACACACACACAGCAATAGGCAGTCTATTCCTCAATAATTTATCCACTCATCAACTAAGGTTTTTTGAGCAAGAGCATGGAAAAAAGATAATAATTGCACCACATTTGGAATTTTAGAAGGTGCACTAATACTCCATGAATAGAAAACAAGGAGAAGCACACACAGTGAGATATTTTAAGTAACACAGTTTGCCCCAAGCCCCAAATGAAAGAAAATAATACCAGAAGAATAACTCCAGCTTTTTCTCCCTAGCCAACCATAAAACATTGTGCATTAAAGGCAGCATGCATACAGCATAATCATTGTAGCTGGAGAATATTTCTAAATGTTTTGTGGTTAATCACGAATTCATGAGAAGATCAAATGAATATCATACAAAGATATAAAACATTTTTTTAAAGATTGCCCCAAGTTATTCTCGAGATATGTGTTTAATTCAGCCCACCTGACCATAACACACATGACAAAACCTTCCACTGAAATATATCAAGTCTTTTAATAATAATAATAATGGATTGCATTTATATAGCGCTTTTTGGGAACCTCAAAGCGCTTTTAGCTCTCCAGATTAAAACACTACAAAGGGATATTCTATTCTCAGTATTTCTCCTGGATGAGTTATTTAAGTTGAAATATTTTGAAAAATATTTTAAATCCGCTTTATATACAGAACAAGGAAATGTATATATATATATATATATTGAATATAAGACTGTTATACTATAATTTTTGTCACGGCCGACCGTGTGGAGAGTGTGTTTGGTGGACCCAGGTGCAGACACAGACGCTGGAGGCAAAACTTGTGCTAAGCTCAAAGCGAGCCTTTAATCAGGTCTGATACAGAAGGCAAAATAACAAACCATAAACTATGGGAATGACTAAACTAAAAACCTAAACTGGGAGTAACTAAGGCTATGAACGAAGACCAGGGCTGAACTATGACGAAGTACTGTGGACAGACTATGAACACGACGTGAAAAACTGTGAACAAGATCTCGGTACTGGCACATGAAGGTGCAGGGAAACATGACTGGAGAAAGTGACTATGAACATGTCCAATACCGAATCTTGCAGACTAGAATCATGACGTGCAGCTAGAAATAATAGGGTGCATGAACATACAATGCGACACTGACACGAAGACACACTGGGCTAAAATACACTGAGGAAGTCATCAAGGAATTAGAGACAGAAGGGGAACACAGCTGGGAGGAATAAGACCTAATGAGACAGGGGGGAACAAAGCTAGAAACACTGACATAAGACAGGAACATGAACCTTCAGAGTAAAACAGGAAACAAGACACCACTAAACAAAAACGCAGACACGACACAGAGACAGACTAGACACTGAACTAAACCTGCAATAAACATGAGAACAAAACCTACGAACTAATCCCTAAACAAGAATAACTGAAACACAGATTCATAATCATCATTATCATCATAATAAGAAAAGAATCCAAAATGCAAAAACACACCAAAACATAGCAACTCAAAATAGTGGGTCAAACTGACCAAGAACCGTGACAATTTTAGTCATTACGTGGCATTCAGTTATGTGTTTCACATTTCTTCACATTCATAGCCCTAAAATCTATTTATAAACAAGATGAAAGGTTTTTTTAAAGGAAGATTAAAAAATCGTGCCAAACAAATGTTAACAGTTGATGTTAATTAAATAGATTTTCATGCTTTTTTTGAAGCTAAAGACATTTTCTCACTTGTACATTCCCTGCTTTTGTTGAAAAGCATTCTCATAAAGTAATAAAAAAGAAGCTACATCTCCATAAATGTAGGAAGTCCTAAAATCTATTGAAAACATAAAATTCCGTCTGATTCAGGGAGGATTATTCTTGGTACCTCATAGATTTTTATTAAACTTTGTTATAAAATTAGTTTGTAAGATGTGCCTGAATGCATCATGTGACCCACCTGTTACTCATGCAAACCTTCCCATGCTCTTTGTTGGTGTGTTCAGGTGGATATTGCCCAGCTCAAAGTTTAGCAGTGAGTAAGGAATCTGAGTTGTAATCAGTCATGGCAGACTGGAGCCTACTGGGAAACTTCCTGGAGGAAGTACAGGAGCACTCTACCTCTGTTGGCAAGGTAACATGCAAACACAGACATGTATATGTACACACACATTGCGTACTAACACACAAGACTGGTCCGACATCCTCTGTTCATGACAGACAAACATATACACTCAAAATAGAACA